TTTCTATACTCTCTTTCACCTATTATTGCCGACAGTTTCCTGTAAATTCCGTCTAAATCCTATGTGCAGCAAACACTGACTGCCACCATTCCTCACGCGGCTGCAGTGTGCACACTGACACTTATATATATAGCAGGTAGGAAAGCGGGATCGCAAAATTCGCTCGACGCTCGCTTGATTTCACACTTTTACAGCAGGAATACACATTCAACAGCTGCCATCTTTGTCAAGAACAGTGTTTACTTGTTATAAAAACATAGTGTCTCTGTTCGTAACCAAGCTGTATCACGCGAAATCACACAAAGACTGACGAAATTTTCGCGTTCGCGAACCTTGCCCAGTAATGTAAATGGCTGCAAGTACAGGGCTATATAGACTGGGACTCGCTCCCACCTCGATTACCCATTGAGTGACTAAGCTAAGCCGAGAGGTGGGAGCGAGTGCCAGTCTATGGGCTATAGGTGGCGCGCAGGCGGCGCACTGCTTTCCAACTTCTGTACAAGCCTCGCCATTGGGACGTTGCAAAAACGTTGCAGCGTTGCGGCGCAAGAATGAGGTCACGAAGAGCGCCGGTAGGTGTTACCTGATTCTGACAGCCATTTACATTACTGGGCAAGGTTCGCGAACGCGAGAATTTCGTCAGTCTTTGTGTGATTTCGCGTGACACAGCTCGGTTACGAACAGAGACAGTATGTTTTTATAACAAGTGAACACTGTTCTTGACATAGAATCAAAGATGGCAGCTGTTGGATGTGTATTCGTGCTGTGAAAGTGTGAAATGAAGCGAGCATTGAACGAATTTTGCGATCCCGCTTTCCTACCTGCTATATATATAAGTGTCACTGTCAGTGTGCACACTGCAGCCGCGTGAGGAATGGCGGCAGTCAGTGTTTGTTGCACAAAGGATTTGGATGGAATTTACAGGAAACTGTCGGCAATAATAGGTGAAAGAGAGTATAGAAACATTAAGAATTTAGTAGTAATTATAGGCAAAATAGAGTAGACAGTAGAGAAACATTGCTCAAGACTTTGGTAGTAAATACATTTCGTGTTTATTTACCATTATTTCTTTCACAGTAACTAAGCGTCCGGAATCGGTCGTCTAGCCTCCAGGCTACGCATCCGGACATCCACTCACACAGTGATCGCGTGACTCGCGTACACGCATGATTGCGCAACGGGACGCTCTGCTGATTGCCGAAAATATACAATATATGCACTGCTGCCGTCTATCCTTTCATCCGCCTCGCTCATCTCATCTCTCGTCTTAGCACGCGAGCTCTCACGCATGAACACCACACATGCAGCATGTCACGCCCCGGGCCGTACGCGCCCCGGGACACCCGGTAACGACTCTCGATCCCTCTCCTCTCCCTCTCTCTCCTATCTCTACACACAAGTACACACACACAACAACACACGACACGGGCAATCAGCAGACCGTCCCGTTGTGCAATCATGCGTGTAAGCGAGTCACGCAAGATCACTGTGTGAGATGGATGTCCGGACGCGTAGCCTAGCGGCTCCTCGTTCGGAACCGGTCGCGTAGCCACGGCTTTTTTTTTTTATTGAGGCGTTCCAAGTGCCTGTGGTTTTACGCACAAGGCAACGCTTTGCTTCGCAATGAATCACATGACAAAATCACAGGCTCAGCGTTGGGCCGTTTCAAATTCAATAACAAAATGAAAGAAGATAAACACTAACCTCATAACCTCATAAATAGTACTATTAGTAGTCTTCAAAAGTCCAAGGGACTATAACGAAGACTGAGGGACAAGTTGATCAAATTGATGGATCAACACTGTGGACTGCAGTGGAAAAAACTGCAAATTTGCAATTTACCAAAGGTGAAGGGAGAGAATTCTAATACGGAGTGACAGAAACAAAGAAGCTAAACTTAGTGTAGCTTAGTGTAGTGTACCTAGGGTGTGTGTGTGTGTGTGTGTGCGTGCGTGCGTGTGTGTGTGCAGGAAAATTGTGTGATGTAGAAGAGCATTTCAGTGACATTTACGTGGTAATATTAGACGATAGAGAGAACATAATCCACATTGTGTCATAACTAGCGCCATTGCATGTTGCCAATCACATGCCGTGGCACCCAATAGTGGTAAGTTGGGAACCGTAAACAGCAAGAATTTCTCTCTGGTGTAATAAGATTGAGCAATTTTTTCATTTAGACCCTAATGTTTAAAGAAATGCTGCAATTTTCGATCACAGTAGCTGAATAGTTGATTGTTTTGGTGGACTATAGAGAGCAGAGAAAGGTCAAGGTGGAAGTGACAGAATTGTGAAGTGCTTGTAATTCGTAGAGAAAGTGAGGGTTGATCGGCAAAATTTGCCAAATGAAGTTTTTTACCCTCCCTAAACTATGAGCATGCATCACATGTGCAATGGTGAGTTGTGGGAGCAGCTAGTATTGTAGACGTGTCAGTTTATTAGGAGAGAAACTTTATATGAATGACATTGCTACAATAGGGGAAAATCCTAATCAGGCTGGTATTTGGAAATTAACGACCATATTTTCATTACTGACTCAGTTCCAAGTGCCTGTATACATAATCATTTGGCTCCACCACAGATGCCAGTGATGGCTATCCATGGTGGAAGTTGAGGTTATAGGCAGAGTTTCGTCGTCATTTAGGCATCCATAGGTTAGTCTAGGTTGGTTGATTGGTGCGCAGATGACTGAAGAGGCCAATCTGAGTACTGAATGTACACCGGCAGTGTGGGCAGGGGATGGTAATTGCTGGCTGTGGGTTCAATGCCTGTGCCTTCCTTCTCTGCCTCCAATGGCAATGCTGTGCTGTGGCAGTCCGGTCTGCTTCACACGTTGTAGCTCCATGATGAAGGATACAACCCATAGCATTCCACTCCCTGCCACGAAACAGTACTGTTCTATTGCCTCTGTTCATAAGGAAGCTCATATTGGCTCCTAGCTCTGTTTCCTCTGATTGGTTAATTCTAAATCTAGTCACCCATGTTCAAGGGCGTCGGAACTGCCGCGGCAGCCGCGGCGACCGCCGAGGCACTTTTTTCAGGCCATAAATTTTCCGTAACCAAAATCA